CAACGCGACCTTGTCGCCCTTACCGGTAGCGCTCCCTCCTTCGCGCTATCCGATCGCGGCGGACCAGTTCCAACCGGCGGGTTACGGCCATACCGGTCAGAGCCCTGGTGCTGGTTCGGAAGGTGGTAGCGAGGGTCGACCGCGGACAGCTGATGCGCAAGCCAGCTCCCAAGCTCATCTCGAGGCGTCTTTCCCCAACACATACCCGTTGTACAACTGGCATATGCCATACAAGCCCAACAGCTACGGGAACCAACACTCTTCTGGGATCCCACTATTGCCTCCTCTGAATTACTTCTATCGTCCTCACCGCTTGGACAGCGTTGCTCCACGAGAGAGGATCATGCATATAATCGGATTATTTTTCGACCTTGTTTATCCTCTGACCCCATGCATCCATAAACCGAGCTTCCTGTCCGACCTGGCCAACCGTCGGGAGGAGCGTGACCCACTCTTCTTTGCGCTCGTGATGTCGACTGTCGCCAGCACGTTGGTGCAAGCACCTCGCAGCTACATCCCGATGGACCGACCGTCGGTTAGGAGGTTGGCCCAGACCTGCCACGAGGCCAGCCGACACATTACGGTTGCGTCCTATGACCCCCCTACGTCGATGATGGTGGTTATTCGATACCTGTGCGTTATCCTGATCCTGTCATACGAGGTAGAGCTAACGTATCATTAGTGACACTGTATACCACTTCTGTGAAGGACATGATGCTACGTCGCATGCTTCATTCGGCGAGGCGGCTCACATTGCTGTGACGCTGCATATGCACGAGGAGACATCATACGAAGGACTCGATCCTATCGAATGTGAAGTGCGACGGCGAACATTCTGGTTGTTGTTCGGTGCCGACAAGAGTATGAGTATCCTCCTTGGCCGCCCGATCTGTCTGCGTGACGAAGACTGCACGCTTCACTTCCCAAAAGAAGTCGATGACGAGTAGTATGTATCTCGAATCTTTCCCATGTCAACTCGAACTGACTGTTCTACAGCATCTCGGTCAACGGCATTCAACCTCAGCCACACGGCAAAACTGCAATTGTTTCCGGCTTGAACTACATTTCTCGGATCTTCGCCCTGCTCGGCGAGATCCTTGTTCGTATTCGAGTCGACAAGCGTTCTCCTCCTCAAGGACCTTTTGCCACGGCACGCCTGGAGGAAGTTCGAAGCCTGCACACTCGCATCTGCTCTGCCCTGATGCACGCACCACCGGCCCTCCGTCTAAAGCCTGGAGGAGGGCGACATGGAGTCAACGGCGCGAACGGCTCGATCCCTGGACAACACGAAGAGTATGGCGGGGCTGGTTTCCGAAAGGCCGCATTCGCCGAGGTCAAAGACTTCTTCGATAACCCTAATGCATCACGCGTGGACGCAACAAATCCCTACCTCATCATGCAAGCAAATCTCTACGTGACCCAGGTACGATGTTCTGTACATCATTTCATTTACCGGATCTGACGCCCCTTATAGCAACTTGTCCGCTACGTGATCGAGCAATATCGTGATGAGCTCGTCACGAACATGCGGCAGTCGGCGGGCGACAATTTTGAATCGGATGCGCTTCGTACATGGACATCCGAAGACAAGGAACAAGTTGCTAGCGATCTTCTTAATGTGCTTCATAGGTAAGGTTGACTATTCAAAGGCAGTTCGATTAGCTCACTCCCTTGATAGCATTCCAATCCAGTCAATCGCTGTTAACGGACCTTCGCTCGTTCACAAGGTCAGGTTCGTCGCCTCCACATTGCTGGATGCTGTTCGCAAAGCGGAAACTGCGCCTGCGTCGGCTGCTCGAGCACACGCTTATTTGTGGGACTTCCTGTCCATCCTGTCGGAGATCGAGAGGAATTACCTGTACGTTTTCGTCTACCATAGATCTATAACCGGCAATAACCGAATGCTATTATTCAGGCTTGACGATGAGCAAGACGGCATGGCTAGTGACGCTGCGGGGCCGATCAACGTTTAAATTCTTTGGGTCCTGCGACAGGCTTCGCATAGTATGTTTATGGATTTCTTTGGTTACATGTCCATCTTCAAAGATGGAGCACGCTTTTTTGAAGCGTGATGTAGTATACCCTTGGAGTTTTTTGTGCTTTTTAATCGCTGTAGTCCTTACTTTCGTCGTTATGTATCATTCGGGGGAACGTGCTAGAATACAACCCAATTGAACACAACAACCTGCTCTTGATCACGTGAAAGCCCGACAAGTGGCGCGAAACATTGCGTATACCACGACCGCGCGTTCACATTCTTCATAGTCGGTACAATGGCTGAATCGAAAATGAATGTCGACGTCGAGAAAGTACAGGTGTCAATCACAGAAGGTGAGTATACGAGTATGCTGTCCTGCTCGTCAATTGAGTTGTCTCGCATTGTAGACGAGGCGGCCTTGTATGATCGTCAAATCCGACTCTGGGGGTTGGATGCACAACAAAAGCAAGTAGACCATTCTGTGTTTTTCTTTGACTGACTTTTTACTTGTCAAGAATGCGAAATGCAACAGTTCTTGTGGTTCGACTCAAAGGTGTCGCAACTGAGGCAATAAAAAACATAGTCTTGGCGGGAATAGGCAAACTCATTGTTGTTGACGACCAACCTGTTGACGAGACGGACCTGGGCTGTGGGTTCTTTTTTCCTGAAGGGAGTATTGGCCAGCCGGTAAGTAATGAGGAAGAAAGCGCTGAGATCGATCTAACGCTGCCGATTCACACAAGCGAGTTGAGGCCGCCAAACCCCAGATTCAAAGTCTAAACCCCTTGGTGAACGTTGTAGCTGTCTCGGACTTTGGCTGCTTGTCCGATGGCCAAATAGATGCAACACTGGAGGGTGTCGATCTGGTCTGTGTGACGGATTGTCAGAAGGACGAGATGGTGCGCTCGCTTTGCTCCACTGGCAGATATTCATTGATTTTGTTCGATAGCTTCGATTGAACGAGGCCAGTCGTCGCTCGAAGAAACTATTCTACGCGGGAGGATCTTATGGGATCATCGGATTTGTGTTCGCAGATCTGCTGGTACATGAATACTTGGCGCAGTATGTTGTATCTCCTTTCCCGTCGAGAAACCCGCTCCATGCACCCAAGGGACCGTAACGCAGCCGGCAGTGGAGCACCCAAAACTACGAAGCAATCAGTAACCTATCCTTCATTACGCGAGAGTTTCAGTCACTCTTGGAAGGGCCTCGCCAAGCGCCAAACGAAAGAACTTAACCCTTCTGCTGTGTTCTCCGTGTTAGGTGAGCTTGCTGCGGTATGTTCCGAGAGTATCCCATCTTACGGTTCAATGACCAGCCTTGTGGGAGTGGGAATCTCAGCACCAGACGTATGTTGGACCTGATTCTGGGGTTGAAGTCCGCCAAATTGCGGCCGAGATGATCAAGTCAGCTGGAGTGAACACACAAGTGGACCCCATCCCTTCGGTTGCGGCTATAGAGTAAGTAGACCGTTGTTGAATAAACAAGTGGGTTGACTCTGTCAAAAGCTCCCTCTGCACCACCGCAAAGCACGAGTTTAGCCCAATTTGCGCAATCATTGGGGGCTTCCTTGGTCAGGACATTTTGAAGGCACTGGGCGCCAAGGAGCCTCCGATCTCCAACTTTTTAGTTTTTGATGGATCAACAGGAGCAGCGAGCGTTGTGCCAATGAAGATGAACGCTGGATCCTAACGTGAGTACCAAATATCTTCGCGTGTCACTTGACCTGACCCCTTTCAAGTTAATCGTTTTTGGTTCCCTTCGGTCTCGTACCATGCGGCAGATCTTGGAATGTGTGTATATATGCGTAAATAGTACTTTCTCTTGGCAAAGTCTATGCTAGATAGCATTGTGTCACGAGAGCATCAATATGAAAACCAAGCTGGTCAGAGACGTCGCGTGACGTCTTTCTGCCCATTGAGTTTTATTTCGTCGGTTTGTCCGAGAATCTACCCCAGTGTCTCCGTGCTATGCGTTCGGGTGCGAAACTTGTGCCCCAGTTACACCGAGCCACGTGCGTCCCCGGTAGGTTTGCATCATACTAGCAGCCTCGAGGGCCTGATTGAACGACGATCTGCATAGTCAAGGATCCGGCAAGTACGGTACCTTTACATATGATACTATGGTCCTAGCACCCCCTCTAACGATAACCAATGTGCTTTTTGAAGTCGCTTCTGGCCGCTTTTTTGGCCTCTATGGCCATCTAAGTCAATATGAATACCATTGCGACCAATGGTGGCGTCTTTCTATCACCGCACCTTTGGTAGTTCTCCGCGATCGTATTGAATATTTACGATCGAATAAAGCGAAATTTCCAGCAATTTTTGGCTGGGTCAATATCGATTCATAGTAACAGGCATGAGTTGTAATTGAGGTGGAAAGTATTTGGACACGACCGAGTACATGGATCCTGCGTGCCTTTTTTAAAATGTATGCTAGCGTTTGCAATCCTTACCCGCACTACACAACACGTAGAGTGGTTGAGGTGGCTCAAGCTTTCGCCTTGATTATTAGTTACAAGTAGTTTCGGCCTCGAACCGCGACAACCCAACCACAGAAATTCCTATAAACTACGTTCTTTTTCTTGATGTCTCGCGCATACAGTTAAAGCGGTAAGTGCTCTTAGTATGTGACTGCGAACGTTCCATATTACTGGCTGGAATATGGCTGCTTGCCGTCCCTTTGATGCAAACAAATACAAATATCACCATAGGGTCTATGGAGGCAAGCGTTAAGATAATTAAACAATTATGCAAGTATCCATAGCTGCAAGGAGTAAATTTTGAGTCTTATATAGCTAGATTATACATTTACGAAGGATAATAGCGCATATATGGTAGAACCTGGAGTTGTGTGAGATCAGCGAACAGCCCCTCCTGGTGGCGTACCTACACAGCTGCCTGGAATCCAACGCATCGCTACAGACGTTACTAGAGTAATTCACACCGCAAAAAAGCGATAGCGATAATCAATAGAGCACTTCAAATCCAGTTCAATGTGTGGGGAAGCGTGAGAAGCGTAAGGCCGGCTGGCTTAATGGTAAAGCGCCAGTTTCCGGCAAGATTTCTTGTTCAGTGAGCTGGAGATTGCATGTTCGAGTCCTGCGTCGGTCGCTCTTTTTATTTCTTGCCTGAAAGCTGCGGAGACACACGCGTTTCACTGACTAAAACACGAGGACTGGGTGAGGAGATGAGTCACGTGATAGCATACACCTGACCTCTCCTTATATGGTTCACCAAACTCAGCCCCTTATGAATCATGACATAACAATGCTATCTGCAAATATTTCATCCAGCTAACATTTACTCAGGAAGCGTCGGATCGGAAGCCGGCCAGATGTCCTGTTGGATGTATTGGTTGTTTGGCGCTTAAGGTGTTTGGTGGGCACCACCCGCATATTGTTCGAGGTATAGCTTCTCATGTATCCTCACACTCTTTTCGATCTATCCTTACTCCCCTCGTCCACCATCGCCACTTCCAAAAGGTTATGTATGGTCCAAGAATACCTAATCCTCCAGCCCCCCGGTTTTTTTATTGTGATGGAAGCTGTGCTTAATGACTCACTACTTTCTAGTTTTGTATTATTTTCGGTGCAATCCAGGTACCAATGTTATACCCATTTCAGTATATTACATGCATTAGACCCGTGAAACAGTGTTGAAATTTACCCCTGCTCGTCCTGGTGATCATTACAATAAAATAATAAACGGACCTGATTCACTCAATCGCCTTGCTTACAGAAAGATGACCTGATTACACGCCCGAGCGCGGACGAGTATTAGAATACGCGAGCTTCGCTTACGTAGTCCGCGCAGGGCAGCGTGCGTGGAGTGCATAGAGATATGCTGGAGCCAGTTTGGAAATACGAGGATCAGGCAGCGGGCGAGGCCGATGAGCGCAGAGAAACGAAAGACAGGGTAGCTGGGCGATTTTAGTGCGACTCATCCGGTCAAACCAAAGTCAGAGGGGCACAGAACGAGCGCTGGGGCTCCAAGCACCATACCGAGGCGCGCGCTACAGAGTTCGAAGCAGAAGGAACGGCGATCTGAATGCCAAGCAAGGTAAATCGAAACAAACCCACCATGACCGAGCATATATCCGGCGAAACCATCTGAAACACGAGCAAGTAAGGAATATCTTTAGCACCCTTCTCCGGGTGATCCTACCGAATCGCGAGATTCAGATAGCTTTATATTTTATTACCGCGCAACGGCTAGGAGCTAGAGCTAAGCAGAAATGCCGTTACATCCGAACAAAGACTAAAGTAAAACGCTTTATGCTGCGAATTTGGCTGTACCCCAGGGACCGAAAACCATGCTACCGAGTCGGTCTCGGAGGGCTAAAATGAGGTTTCAGTTCACTCCTTTCTTATTAGGGCTCGTGCTTTGGGATACAATAGCTAGTTATGTGAAAGTGTTCATTTCATGCGCGAGTTGCAGCTCTCTATGTTCGATACGTATCTCCAGCCCACCTATACTTCCCATAGACGTCACAGCAATTCCGTCTAAAAAAAGAGTCCCCAAGATAATGCGATCAGTTAGTCTTGGCTCCCTCTGACGCTGTTCTAAAACGATAGCCAACCCGAGCGCCGAAGTAATCCCAAAAGGCGGTCCAGTCTTCAATTTAGTTACATTTTAACTCCACTATGAAGCCTCTTTGGCCTTGATGGCCAGCGCTTTTCTTAACGGGCTTTTTAAAGCTGGGTAAAAGAATATTGCGCTTTCGTTCTATTGCCTCTAGAAAAGGCAACGGGGCGAGCAAAGCAGAAGCCGGCAAAAGCGCACCAATTGTATCGCTTCCCATAACACCCGCCGCACAGATCCACATCATGGGTTTAGCTTAAGCTTCATCCCCCGCTTACTAATAAAGGTCTTACAGCGCCCACGCTATGGCTCTGGATAGACAAGGGCAGAGCAAACCGCAACGTTGTATGTTTCACATTTCATATGCAGAATAAAGTATAGTAGTTGTAAGGCGGGTATTATGGGAAGCGATACAATTGGTGCGCTTTTGCCGGCTTCTGCTTTGCTCGCCCCGTTGCCTTTTCTAGAGGCAATAGAACGAAAGCGCAATATTCTTTTACCCAGCTTTAAAAAGCCCGTTAAGAAAAGCGCTGGCCATCAAGGCCAAAGAGGCTTCATAGTGGAGTTAAAATGTAACTAAATTGAAGACTGGACCGCCTTTTGGGATTACTTCGGCGCTCGGGTTGGCTATCGTTTTAGAACAGCGTCAGAGGGAGCCAAGACTAACTGATCGCATTATCTTGGGGACTCTTTTTTTAGACGGAATTGCTGTGACGTCTATGGGAAGTATAGGTGGGCTGGAGATACGTATCGAACATAGAGAGCTGCAACTCGCGCATGAAATGAACACTTTCACATAACTAGCTATTGTATCCCAAAGCACGAGCCCTAATAAGAAAGGAGTGAACTGAAACCTCATTTTAGCCCTCCGAGACCGACTCGGTAGCATGGTTTTCGGTCCCTGGGGTACAGCCAAATTCGCAGCATAAAGCGTTTTACTTTAGTCTTTGTTCGGATGTAACGGCATTTCTGCTTAGCTCTAGCTCCTAGCCGTTGCGCGGTAATAAAATATAAAGCTATCTGAATCTCGCGATTCGGTAGGATCACCCGGAGAAGGGTGCTAAAGATATTCCTTACTTGCTCGTGTTTCAGATGGTTTCGCCGGATATATGCTCGGTCATGGTGGGTTTGTTTCGATTTACCTTGCTTGGCATTCAGATCGCCGTTCCTTCTGCTTCGAACTCTGTAGCGCGCGCCTCGGTATGGTGCTTGGAGCCCCAGCGCTCGTTCTGTGCCCCTCTGACTTTGGTTTGACCGGATGAGTCGCACTAAAATCGCCCAGCTACCCTGTCTTTCGTTTCTCTGCGCTCATCGGCCTCGCCCGCTGCCTGATCCTCGTATTTCCAAACTGGCTCCAGCATATCTCTATGCACTCCACGCACGCTGCCCTGCGCGGACTACGTAAGCGAAGCTCGCATATTCTAATATTTGTCTATGATTGAGTTGCTCCTGGATAGAACGTTCTCTAACCCAGTCATGTTCGCTGCTGGCTCTCGCATGACGAAACACAGGCACTAGACTAATACGCCGACTTTTCGTTTACATAATAATCAACACACTATGCGTACTGTTCTTTCTACGTGCAGTGCGGGATCCCATCGAACACGATGAGCGACATCAGACAGGAGGCGCAGCAGCAGTCTGGGTCTCACGGCCGCGATATGCTCTGAAAGTTACCCGGGTTAGATATGCTGATTGGAGGGCTCGATTTTTTCTTACTGGGCTGCCCTATCTTCGATTGCGTCAAACTGTCGTGCAAACTCCATGACCTGAGCCAAACCGATCAGGGCATATACCATGTACGTAAACAAATGATCATACCTGAGCATCAATGTCTGAGCCTGTAGCTGAGCCAGCATCTCCAATAAACAGTTCACAATGTCCGATAAATCGCTCCAAGTCACGAGAGTGCGTCTCTGCAAGTTCTGGCTGGTTTGTCCCCTTCAACTACAGATGTCAGCACTGAAAATCTAATGCTAAAAATGATGTACCTTTGCTCTAGCCAGAATTGCCGCAGTAATAGTTCCTAGCGCTCCGAGGCCGGCTGTCGCAAGACGTGTCTGGAGAGTACATCAATCACTAGAGATAGTCTTGGAGTATGTTTTACGAACCTGCTCACTCGGTTCGAGCACAGCAACTATCGTTATAACTGCTCCAACGGTGACCTGTAGTAGGATTATAAAGTTGATGCCTATTGCATGTTGGTTCGTAGGTTGAAACTTTTGGAGTGGCAATCGTCTCACCGTACTTGATCATCTTGCCTTGATCATCTACATGTCAATATGCGATTTAGAGACCCCAGGCTGACATACTTAATCTATACTGATACTTCTGACGAGCAATAGCCTTGTTGAGAAAAGGTTGAAGCCTCGCTTTTGCGCTTCGATCGTTGGCATACTGTATCCAGAGTGTTAGGATAGGCAACCACAATATAAGGATAGGATCATACAACACGCCATTGTGCAGCCGACGAGACCAAGGGTGTACTTTCGCTGAGATTGCCCTGCTATTAAATGGAGTTGGCTTACATCCGCTAGCACTACACTGGCGTTGTATCACTTACAGCTGGGCCGTTGGCTACTGAGCGCGCGTCTTCTGAGCCTGCAGCGTCCATAATGAGGGGAGGGAGAAGAAAGAGGGAAGGAGTACATTGAGTTCCTGTGTCTTATAAAGTGTTACCGAACAGCCGCTACGGCATGTCTGCCCGGATGTAATCGATGTGGCGCGACAATACAACCCTCTTAGATAGCATATATTCAACCGTGAATCATCAATATCATTAGTCGTGAACTGTTATCAATAAGAGCATTACAGAAACGATATCCTTAACAAGACAAGAAAACATGGTGGTAGATTATGGGAGCAACCCAAGAAGTACTGAGAGTCCACCGCCGTGATACAGCCCAGATTGAGCCGTGCGACAAAAGCCTGTCCATAGACAAGATTATTGCCTCGTTTGATTACCAGGTTGTAATCCAGTGTGTTGGCCTGGTAGCGGCGTAGGGGTCGTGGCGGGAGTTGATCCTGCCATGAAAGTGTTGACGGCTTGAACCTCACGACCACGATTTGCCCTTTTAGAGCAGCTTTGTGTTAGCCAATTTTCCAGGTTGTACTAGGAAAACTCACTGAACGGCCTTGTCTTCAATTGCCTCAAACTGCTCAACGAGCCTCATGATCTGATGTCATGATCAGAATCCGCTCTTCGCGACAGCTACAAAACCTTACCCCTTGCTGAACATCTTCACTGACATCGGAGCCAGATCGTCTAATAAATAACTGGCACCGTCCTATAAATTTCTGCAAGTCCTTAGAATAGTTCTCTGCAAGTTCGGGTTGATTTGTGCCCTATTGACGCGGTTAACAAAAGTAACGGTGTTCTGCCCATGAGCGTACCTTGGCTCTTGCTACAAGTGCCGCGGTAACTGTTGAAAGAGCACCAAGCACCACACTCGCGATACGAGTCTATTTAGTTAAATTATAGTATCCACATCTAACGTTTTCGAGTCTGAACAACATACCCGAGGTGTTGG